TTCGCCCATGTGATAGAAAGGGGGGGGACAGCAGGTAGAGTTAAATAAAAATATTTAAAACAGGTTGTGATACAGTGCTAGCCTGCTAGAGATTAAGAACATTTACATTTAAATTAAGACAATGCAGACTGAGATCTTAACATGCTTGAAGGAGAAGGTCAGCGTTGTGCTAATCAGGTTAAACTGCCTACACAGCTCTCAGACCATACAAGCAAAGACAGACTCAGATACATTCGTCTTTTCTATGAAATTGCACCCTCATACAATCAGGATCTGGCCATAGCTTACACAGAGCCATAGGAATGGGGAGTGTTTTAAATGTGAAAATTTAGATAGTTTTTAAAGTGACTGTCCCAGGAACAGAGGCTTGAGCAACAGTCAGGTGACCAAGGTTACTTGACTGAAACTTGTCCTTGGTACAGGAAGGATAATCCTTGGGCCAGGCCTCAGGATATAGGCCAAGATTAAAAACATTTACATTTAAATTAAGGCTATACACAGAGTGGATGAAGCAGAAGCTTAGATTTCAGATATTCATTTTGTCCTTACCCGCCTCAAAAAGGGTGTTTTCTAGAATTTGTTTATTGCCTTGCTTGTTCCTTAGGGAGGTGTCAACCTCAGACTCAAAAAAGAAATTCAAAACAGCTTATGGGCCAGGCCAAAATTGTTGAGTGTGATAGAAGACAAAACGGCTTTGGTTCCTCTGATGTGTATTAGGTCTTATTAATAACAAGAGACCTAATCTTAAACTAATAATTGAAAGAAAAAGGGTTTTAAAAGATTGATAGATACTGGGGCTATTTAACAATTATTAGAGGACAAGATTGCCTTCAGCTTGGCTTTATCTGATACTTCACTCAGCTAAAAAGAGTTGGTTATTCAATTAATCCAAAAAAAAGTTCAAATTTAAGATTTATAAAACTAATGGGGCACTACAGCCTGACTTGCCTACTCCAGCTGCCATTCAAGTAAATACATATAAAATTATTATAGATTTAGAAGATTGTTTTATACAGTTCCTTTACCTCCTGGTAAAGGTGAGAGGTTTACATTAAGTAAAATTGCTTGTGATTTTTGAGAGCCCATGAAGCCATTCATTAAAAAAGCTTGCCTCAAAGAATGATTAATGGCCTTAAAAAATTTGTTGTTGCTTTAATACAAAAGGTTAAAGCGTTTGAATCTCTCAGTGTATATTATTCACTGTATATTTTATTGGCTAATCTCTCTAAAGGAGTTTTTCTGCAAGCCTTTGCTCTAGTACAATGAGCTTTAAGATTTTAGAGTACTTGTTGCTCCAGAAAAGATTCAAAGGCAGTATCTTTTCAATATCTGAGAATTCAATTGTGACACAGAAAATTCCAATAAGAGTAGATAATTGGGGCTAGAGAGATGGTTCCGCCGTTAAAGGCTAGACTCACAACTAAAAATATTAAGAGTTCAATTCCCAGCAACCACATGGTGGCTCACAACCATTTGTAGTGAGATTTAGTGCCATCTTCTGGCTTACAGGTGTACATACAAAAAATGGTTTACTTTTAATGATTCTCAAAAGTTGTTAACAGCAGATATTAATTGGCTAAAACCTCATCTTCAGCTTACCATAGAAAAACGTAAACCTCTGTTGGATATTCTCAAGGGAGATGCAAGTCCTAATTCCCCTTGACAATTAACTGATAAAGGAGGAACAGCTTTTAGCACTTTTTACCCTCAATATTTTAGAGCCTGACAGGCCAAAAGAGATGGTCAAGTAAAAAGACATCTTGACCGGACAATGAAAAGGTCCAGATTCTATTTTAATAAAAGCCAGGGGAGCGGTTTGTATCTTTCCACAGGAAGAAGACAACCCGTTTTGGCTACCAGAGTGGCTGACGTGACGACTCTCGATATTAGAAGGTGCCACCCAAGCGGACCCTCCAAACTTTGATGACAGCCCTTGTGCTGATCCAAGGGATACAGGTTCCTAGTATATCGGGGGAACGACGATGGACCATATTATCTGCCTTTCCAAAACCCATACCAGTCAGACATAATGTAACTAATCTGTCCAGAAAATTGTTTCAATATCTTGCAGGAAATTGGTCAGAAAACTTCGATGAGACACTCAGAAAATTGAAAACAGCTGTGGTGAACATCAACTCGACGCTCGTGGATCTGTCCCTGACTGAGGGACTGTCCCCCTGGATTTCTCCAGCTTTCTTTTTCTTTTCTTTTTCTTTTCCTTTTTTTTTAAGTGGGTGGGAGTAGGCCTGTTTGGTATGCCCTATGTTGCGGATTAGTGTTCATTTTTTGGTTGGCTTGCAAACTCAGAGCTCAACAAAATCTTGACAAGGCTATTATTGCACAGGCGCTTGTGACTAAAGAACTAGGGGCTTCCCCTGCAGTGTGGTTATCACTGCTTTGAAAATAAGTAGTCTCCCCCTCACTAGTGGTGGTGCTAAATGTTGGGCCATCAGCCGTTGCATCCCAAAAGATTTGCCCATTACACTGGGTCGGTGAGGAGTCTTGGCCTGGCTGGTCCTTGTCTGTGTAGCTGTGGTACCTGAATTTTGAGGCAAACAGCCCTTGCACCCCTAGGAGATGACTCCATTGCACAGGGATGGGTGTTTGCATCTCTTTCTGTTTCCCTTAGCCCTTGCACTCAGAGGACTTGCTTCCATTGCACCTGATAGGGTAAGGGAGACTGTCTTAAACTATTAGTCCTTGATCGCTTATTCCCCCAAGATGGAATTTGCTTGATCGGACTTGAGTTTGAGTCATGACTGGTACCACGCTAGACAGGCCAAGAACAGCCAGATAGACAGCTCCATCTTTTTGTCTCCAGGCCAGCTGCCATTGGTCCCAACGACGGGAATAGGCTGATCCCATATGCCAGAGGTACACCACGAGTGGTGAGTTTACCCAGTGACAGGCATTACGAGTGGCCACAACCTGGGGCGCACATTCTGAGAATGCCAGGTGTGGGTGCGCGACCCTCGTAGCCTAGACAGAGAGCTCACCATTCTTTGGTGCTGGCTGTGGAAAAACGTCAGCTAGCCTAAGACACGGGACATTGACCAGTGCCTGTTTAACAAAACAAAAAGAAATAGCCAGTAGACAGATTCCTCAGCCGCTGTACCCAAAGGCTTTTGGTAAAGACACCCTGTAAAGCCTCAAACATTTCTATACGCAGTCCCTGCCCACTAAGGTGTTCGTTCCACGGATAGAAGGTCTGGTAAGTCAATAACGGAGCGGACGGATAAGCCTTGGCCACCTAAGACAGGGCAGCCCCGGGTGGGGAGGCTGACCCAGCGATGGGTAAGAGTTTGAGCACCACCCTCCAAAGAGACTCAGACCCGCCGTGAGACCCCCAAATATGGGAGTTACGAAACCTTTCCAGGGATCTCAACTACCACCCTCTGCAATAAAACAAAAAAGGGGCAGATGTAGGAAGCCGCGGTGGGTGCTGGCAAAATCCGCCATTGGAAGATGGCGCTGGCTTCCGGGATTTTTCCTAGTAAACAAGTAAATTGTGCATGTGCCATGGTAAGAGCCCACCAAAGTTAAAGCCCATCCCACGGCGTTTTGGCGCGCAACGAGTAAGCAGCCAATCAGAGGTGAATACACCGCTCTAAGGGTATATAAGCAGTGCTTTTCCCGGGCCTGGCGTCTTCTTCCACCATTTTGTTTTTTGGGAATAAATGTGTTCCTACGGAAGGATCTTGATGTGTGTGGGTGTGCGTTCTTGCTGGCGAGACGATTACACGCACGACCCACAATTGTGAGATCTTAAATGAAAGAAATACAAGTTGTCTGAGCAACCCACAAAATACTGACAGCCTTCTGTCTTATTTAACATGAATAGCTGCAACTCTTTCAAAACCAGAAACAGTTTTATATCCTTGTTAGTTTGCTTCCTTGCTGAGGGTTTTACTGGAATTCTGTCTGAAGAACTGCCAGTGGTCCTGGGCAGCATCCAATCCAGAGGAAAGCCTAGTTTCTTTCCACCCTCTCCTAAAGTATTCAAACTGAAGCCTGTGTCACATAGTAGCTTCCTTCTGGTATTTGCTGATGGAAATGTCCATAATTCCCACCTTGTATATTTTCCTGCACTACATAAATAATAAATCCAAGTTGTGCCAGTCTCAATGTGTTACTGTGGTCTCTGGTAAAAGGCTTTAACCATGCTATCTGCAGTCTCTAGTGGTTTCTCCATTTTTCCCTCATTAAATGCCTCTTCTTGTCTCAGTCCTTGATATCTAGCAGGCTTATGCCAAGTAGGAAGAGGTGAACTCAGGTAAGAAATGATGTTAATGCAAATATTTGTCTTTGGTTTGTGATGGTAATGAGGACAAAGAAGAAACAGCTACTAAGAGAGTAGAAATTTAAAAATAGATGCGGTAGCATGAAGACTTGTTTCAGATAGTCTCTCTAAGGGCAGGAAGGCAAACAGCTTAAAACTAGATCATAACGTACAGACAATGGTAAAAACCATACCAAAGGCACTGAGAAATGGGTAGGAATCCTTATAATAGCTGGCCCAATTGAAGAGTAAAACTTGTTAAAGTTAGTAAATGAACAGAATTGAACATCTTAAAGTCTTATTTGCATCTTCATGAAGTGTTTCATACACTACAACAGCCTTGGGAAAGAACAGAAGCTAACAATCTAATACAAATGCCCCTTTGAGGATTCCTACATTCCGAAACTATTGCAGACTTTCTAGACAGGAAGCTCAATCACAAGTTGTGGCTAGAACATCAGGCTTTGGTTTTTTGTTTGTTTGTTTGTTTGTTTGTTTTTGGTTTTGTTGGGGTGATTGGTTGGTTTTTGTTTCGTTTTTGTAGTATATCCATAGAAATAAGAGACGTGAAGTATGCTCGAACCTTGGCAGATAGAGTGGCTATAACTGTAGAGCCACAGAGGGACTGTTACTACTTAGCCTGGTATAGCAGATGAAACCCAGCGCTTGCTGGCCTTGTCAGCTGGTCAGTGGGTTTGGTTCAACCACATCTTACTCAATGTGAAGACTCTGAAGGATGTTTTATTTGAGTTTATTATAAACTTTTCCAAATAATACATGCACAAGGTAAAAAAAAATAGTACAGAGGAACTTGAAATGAAAACACGGTTTCCCACCCCGCCCTCCTTCTCTAGTCTCATTTCCTAGATGCTTTTAATGATATCTATTTTTGGATCTTCTGGTGGCTAGCTTTCTACCTCTAAATAACATGTGTGAACAATAATCTCTTGACTTATTAACATTAGACAATCTTTAATCTTTCACCATTACAAAAGATAAGGATTTAACGTACACCACCTCTACCCTTCACCTGCCTATCCTTCTCCAAATGCTTGGTAGATATTCTTCTGTGGGTCTAATTTATAGCATTGACCAGCACACTAACTATGCAACTGTGTTCCATTATCTGAAAGACAGCATCTTTTCATTCCTACTTTGAATATTTAAGTAGCCCCATTTTTTTCCTTCTACTTCTCTTCTCTTAACCAATTCAGCCTCTGCTTTCTGCGTCAGTTGGTCAACATCCCTTTCCATCTCTGCTCTGGGTGTAATATTAAGCTTTTTAGGCTTTGTTGGTTGGCTGATCAAAACATTGAAGATCTATAAGTGGCATCTACATCATTTGGGCTATTAAAATACATTTACCAAGCCAAGTGGAAGAAGCTTGTTTTCTCTACACTCCCAATGCCATGCATGATGCCTGCCTGTATCAAGGGAAGGAAGCATACCTACTGCTGATGCCCAATCAGGTCTCTTCTCATACTCCATGAGTATTTGAAATCCTTTCTCATTCTATTTTCCTTCATGGTTTAGCCAAAATTTCTTAACATTCTGTTTAAATTTTGTGATTAAAGACTATAGGCCTTCCATATCTCCAATGTCCCATTTCCTCAGTGCTACTCTGACACATTCTTCACAGAGCCCAGTGTAGTGCTCTCTTCTGATATCTACCACTCTAGACTAGACAGAGACATCCTGGGTAAGGGCCACTGGTCTCCAGATCTTCTTTTTTGAATATATATATTTATATATAGGATTCACCTGCCTAAAAGTGTTTTTCTTTTTACATTACTCTTGAGGGTCTATACTATATGGAACTCTGGGAACAAAAGTTTTCAAAACTCAACCATTGGTTCCTTGACTTCTAGCATTAAGCACTGCTGCTGAAGTTCACAGATTATTCTCAGGTTTGCTTCAGCTGTTTTTCTTTCCCTGGGCACTTTCAACATGTTCCTTCTAGCCCCACTGTTCCAATTTTTCTTAAGACTATGCCTAGATGTGGTTGGTACCAGGTGCCCTCAATCTGATATTCCTCAAGTCTTCCTTGCTCTTTCACTGTCTATGCCATCTCTGCCCGTCTTCTAGAAACTCCTAACAGTTAAACAGTGATTGTCTGTTTCCCTTTCCTTCCTTCCTATTTTTTGTTATTTCATTTTGATGCATGTCTGGGGAGATTCAGTCTATTTTGTTTTCCAGTCTGTCTGCTGAATATTTTTGGCAGTCTAGTTTTGCTTTTAAAATTTTCTCTTAGTATATTTGTAATACACCTCAAGTCTCTCTGGGGAAATGGTCAGAATCTTACAGATTATTTTTATAAATTATGTTTCCTTTAGTTTATAATTTTTTTCAACATTTTTATGTCTAAGTGGTTATTTTTCTTATGCTTCTCCCTTGGTCCCTTCCATGTATGAAAATTTCTATCAGGAAATCCACACTGAGAACCTTTGTTAACTCCTGTTTCTCCAGCAAATCTCTGCTACACCTCGAACCTGTGGGCATGTGAGTTAGGGTCTCAACTCAGAGAAGAAAATCACCTGCAGGCTAGTGGGGCACTTACTTCCATGAAAAGAATATCATTTGGAGTACTAATTCTTTACCTCTCCTCAGGTGGTTTATTCGATTTCTTTATTTAAACAACAATAACAATGACAGTTTCACTAGTATCAATGGTATGTTTTCTCTGTTCTATGTACAAGAGTTGGGGCTGAGTAGAACTAGGGTTCAATTTACAACTGGTACAATTATTTAGTAGCTAGAGTTTTCTAGTGCTCAAGTCTCTTTGGGGTTCCAGTGTTTGGATCAGTGTATTCTGTCTGAAATGGACATCCATGTTTCCCACTCTTTATTTCTCTTCACTTACTTTCTCTCTTCCAGACATTTGTTGAGATCTTCTCCAACCAAATGCTTTTAGTTTCCTTTGCTGAGAGGTCACAATTTTCTTCTGTATTCCTGGACTTCGGTTTCAGCGGGGCCTAGGAAAGGAGGGAAGGCAAACTTACATGTTTAGTCCATCATCTAAAATCTGGAGTACCACTGGAGACATTGACAGGGAAAGAGCATAAGTAACTTTATTGAAAAGCTCTCAGGCTTGACTGCTGAAAGGAGATGAAAGGGGTGGGAGTGGGAATGGAGAAAACTTACTCTAAAAGATTGAGGATCTTATTGTCTCTCTGAGAAAATGAAGCATCTAGGACTTTGGGAAGTCAGAGACTTCAATAGTGAGCTATGTTATTTAAAATCTAATAAACAAAAAATTGCTTTCATGGTACCCAGGAGAGAATAACAATCTAAATAATCAGAACTTAGAAGAGTCTCCTGATGCTAATGACTCACACTTTTGTACTAGGAAGCACTTAGGGAACCCGATTTAAATTCTTCCTCTCCACTGATGTTTGGAAGAAACAGAGTCTTAATTGTCCTGATAAGTTTCGATAGAGGCTAAGTATATACAGCCCAGACTCTGGCAAGCAGGAGTAAAAATGTTCTGTGTTGCTCATTTGTTTATTTGGTTATTCAAAGCACCACAATTATGAATATCCATACTGCAATCATAATGCATGGCCTCAAAATAATAGACCTATGACTACTAGAAGTAGAGTGTTACACAGTTTATTTAATCTCCCTAAAATTCAGCTCTTTTATTCCTAAAATAAGAGTAATAATAATTTCTACTTCATTATTGAGACAATTAAATGGCATAACTTACATATAGGGACCAATATAATGCCTGGCATATATATGTATTATCAATATGTGATGATTGATAATAATTATTTTAAAGATGTTGAAATTCCCTCTATGATAGATATATATGAAATAAATCTAGAATTGCGAAGTTGTATAATAAAGACCTGTGCGCACAGCTCTTGCCTGTGTGCGAGCACACACAGACACACACAAACACACACAAATTTCTTTTAGTCTCTGCATTCACTCCTTTACAAACTATATAATAAAACAGATTATACTAAAATAAGTAAATAAAAAGAAGTCATAAAACTGATTGTGTACAGCATCAATCCTAGATATAACATTAATGAAAATCATAAAAGGAACTTTAAATGAAATGGGGAAAATCAAGAGATCTTTGAATGTATAGCAATTAAGTGAAAGTTAGGTTAGCTCTGTGGAATTCCTTGTTCCAAAGTGAAGCTTTCTATATATGTATAATCAGTAAACCCCCACAGCAATTATGTTTTAAATCTATCACTGTGGGAATATAAACACCATTTAAAAGCTGGGTGACTATTGTTTTCTAAACAATGTCCATTGATGGCTAACCACTATCTTAGGATTGTTCTAGTTTTTGTCAAGATCCCTTCTCTGGATTTTATCAAAGCAGGAATTTAAGCTGAGAGAACTGGGTGAAGAGGTCAAATGTAAGCAGCTGTAAAAGACAAAAGAAAAAGGACTACATTGTGAGCGCAGGTGTGGCTCACAATGTAACACACCTGCACACCTGTAACACAGCATTTGATGCCGAGGATGAAAGACCATTGCTTTGGAAGTCAAAAAACCCTACCTATCATAGAGAGGCGCTGTCTCACGCAGCCAGCAAAATACTCCAATGTAACTTTAGAATCCTTCCTTTAGATTCATAAAGCAATATACCAGAATTATTATAGAGGTTGAAATGTATAGTATAGGATAGGATAGGGTAGATAACAGTTCTTTCTTTTAAGTTGATTTAGTGTGTTTGTGTGTGGATCATAGAACATATGTGGAGGTCAAAAGACAATATGCAAGAGTTAGGTCTCTTCTTCCACCATGGGAGTTCTGAGGATTGAATTTGTTTTGGGTCTTGGCAGCATGTATCTTTACCCACTGAGGCCTCTCTCTGGCACTCGAGAAGAGTTACGTACTGTATATGTCAAAAAATGCAAATGATTGTGAATGTGGTTGGTCTGTAGAAATGATAGATATTGGAGGAGACAGATATGCTTTGCCCAATTCAAGTATTAAAAATATACTCATATTACAAGGTATCTTGTTGATATATGTAGGTTTTATATTTTATGTATCAGTTTAAGAAACTGAAAGTTTATGGCTGTGTCTGCTAATAGCACCTAAAACTAAAGTTTAGCCTCAGAATGTTGTTGGGTTAATTAGATAACAAAAATGGCAAATGACGTTTTCTCAGTACCCACTAACCTCTGTAATCACTTTTAGAGACATTGTACAACTCCCAATAATCATATGAATCATAGCTCCCAATGTATAGGATGAGGCTATAAACTCAGAGAAGTCAAGGATCTCGCTGGTAGCATGCAGATGGTCAATGAAAGACCTAGAATTTGGGCACAAGGAGTCTATGAGAAAGGCTGATGTTAACTTCTGGGCTGTGGGAGCTAATGGGCCAGCATGAAATGGAGCAATCCTTTAGATGGCATCCACTGTGTAGTACACAGGCTTCTTCACAACCATCAGTCAGACTCTCCATGTCCACCCCAAGAGGCGGAGACTTTAACACCTATCCGAAAGCCAAGGAAGCCAAGGGAAGGATTGCCCTCTCTGGCTCGTCAAGATGGTGGGATAGAAACAAACTCCCAAACTCCCAGCACTAGGCCAATATAGGGTCAGCAGGGTGCCTGACAACTGAGAAGCAGAGGGGTCAGCCTCATGAGGACAGGCCTCGTTCCTAAAAGCTTCTGGCTTTATTCTGTGCTGTGTTCTTAACCCACTTCCTAAAGACAGAAGTCGGTCATAAGACACAGGAACCATGAATTAAGAGGAGAAAGCCAGAACTTTAGAAGACAGAGGCAGAGGACTAAACCCGCACCTCTGCCTACCTCCCCAAACCTCTCTACCTGCAACCTCGATGGGCACTCCTTACATCTGTGTGAGGAGGTACAATTTCATTATATTTTCTTTCCACTCAGGCAGATAGGCCAAGCTTGTAGCCACTTCCTTATGGATAGGCCAGCCCCAGGCCTCAAAGAATGGAGCCAGGTTCTTCTGCACTTGCTTGGAGAACATCTTGACCCACAGATTCATTTTGTCGACATTGTCTGTGGACGAGTTCGGGTTCGTTGTCTGGTTTCTGTACTCAGTGAAGAGACGAATAAATGGCTCCCAACCAAAGGCCTCTTGGAGCTAGAAAGGGAAAATTGGAAGTAGGTGAGACATACAAAAAGAAGGTCCAATACACAAGTGAGCTTAATGAGGTCACCCTGCTAAACTTTAGCTTTGCATCCATCACTGAGCATTTTGTGTGCTGGCCTCATGCCTTCCTCTCATTTACTAATCGTAAGAAAAATGCTGAGGCTAGCACAGTGCTTGCAGACCCTCCGTGAGGGATGGACAGAGAAGCGGTTCCAGTGGTCAGTGTTTCCCGCCACTGTCACTGTTCACTCGTTCATGAGATCATGAAGGGAGTAACATGATTTACACAGAAGGATTTAAAACTTGCTGGGGTGGAACAATCCTCATTATCTTTCCCAGATGCAAGGTTAAATTCCAATAGCTTGGAAGTCCCCACAGTCCTCAGTCATCCTCACACTAATTCACAAGGCCACTAAAAACGGCCTTAGGAAAAGGAAATGAATCAAGAAGTCTCTAGACAGTCTAGTTAATTAGAACAAAAAATGAGCTCTAGAACAACAACGACAAAAAAAGAGCATTAGGAAGTGTCACTGGAAAGAGTCACATGGCTTCTTTAACAGTGACTTTCATGAGACTATTGGAAAGAGCCCAGGCTAGCCAGGGTCACAAGGCTTTGCAGTTAAGGGGCCACGTGGTAGTCACCAGAGCCAACATGTCTTCATTTCCTGAATGAGCACAGTAACTCACATAAGAAGAAAGTAGCAGTGGGCATGGACAGAGAAGGATTTGAACAGCTGGAAGAATCAGAATAAATCATGCCTGGCTTGAATCTCACATGACGTCACTCCCCAGAGTAATCTAGGGCCTGATTTCAGCCACTGGGGCTGAAAACTAGGGCACTGAATGACAGTTCAAAGGCAAAGTGAACCTCCAAACCCAAGGCAGAGAGGAATCCTGGGTTGCCTACCTAGGGCGGAATCTGTGGCAAAGCAAAGTCATAGCAAGGAGACTGTATACACACCTAAGGAAAAATTGGATCATAGCCCATTATAGAATATGTGATGAGGGTTGCCTGATAACAACTCAGTAGGAAAGGTTGGCTTCAGTCATTGGTATGCCTGGCTTTAAAGCCACAGAGGAAAAAAAAAGTGTATTTGTAGTACTCCATGTGCCTCAACCAGGTTTAAGATTTGTTTTTAGCGCTATGCTTTTATGCCTCTTGATGGGAGTACAGCTGGTATCATTAAGTCAGTTCAGGGCTGTGCACTTTGTAATGTCATACAAAATGCCGAGAGACACCATTACATGCTGTTATCCCCAGATTCTCTCGTTCTCATGTAGCTGAATGTGGAAGGCCGATGCAGCGCTGGTCTCCGGAGTCACCAGCTTATCATCTAATCATGCGGCCTTGGTAGTCCCACATGTCCCATTGCCCTCCAGTCTTTCCCAGTACCTGTAGGTATGTTTCCAACGCAGTCCAGGCATTCCAGTTTTTCACACTGGGTCCCTTGCTCAAGTAGATTCGGACTCTCTTCTCCCGAACAGGGGGCCATAGCGCAATATTGGCACGGCCTCGAGGTATGCCCAGGACCGTTTCATGCACATAAACACACCACAGGTTGCATGTGGCTTCTGTAGTGTGTGGGGGGAACTCCCACTCCTGCTTCTGCTGGTTGCGGCCCAGCTCATGCACAGCACCCCACAGCCCCTTGGACCGGATGAGCTTCTCACTGATGAGCTCCTGTACGGACTCCAGATGACACATGATGGGGTACCCTGCATGCATCCAGCCTGGAGGCACAGAGGAAAGAGAGAAGGTCAGAATCCTCCCAGCTTGAGGAAGGATCAGAGGAATCAGAGGGGTCAGGTACATATCATGAGAATAAGGCCCATCACAGCCTGGGATTCAGGAATGTGTACAGATCATAGAGCCTATAGGGGTCTGACTGAGATCCTTGGCATATACATTATGGCTGAGTAGCTTGGTGTTTTGGTGGAAATCCTCACAGTGGGAATGGGGGCTGTTCTTGACTCTTTTGTCTACTTGTGGGACCCTTTTGCCCCTAGGTTGCCTTATCCAGCCTTGATGTGATGGCACATGCCCGGTATGTAGCTTATTATGCTGTGTTTGGTTGATGCCAGATCCTGAAAGGCTTGCTCTTGTTTGAGAGGAGCTGGAGTGGGATGGAACTGAGGGATAGAGGAGGTAGGAAAGAGAGATGGGGCAGGGGGTAGAGACAGGGATGGGAGAAACTGGTCAGGATGTAATATATACGAGAGGATAAAAAATACTTTAAAAACAAACAAAAGAATCCTCCTACCTCACCACTAAATGTGTCTTTGAACCATTTCTTTTCCAAAACGTCCAGTAGCCCCAGGCTCTTCCTAACACCCATACTGTTCTAGGACACCATCCAGGCCCAGACAGTCACACGTTTTCCCCTCTGCTCATTCTGCACTGACATTGTCACCTTTCTTATGACTTGAGCCCTGGGGAGGACAGGTTGCCGAGGACCGTTCGTGCTGTTATGTGAGGGTCCTGCTTTGGGGAGCAGGGTGGCGATGCTATCCATGTGAGGGTGTGTAAAGGGTGCCTCCACCCCATTCGTAGCTATGTAATTACCTACATTGATACAAGATTAGTCATGCATTGTAAAAAAAAAAAGATCTAGAGAACTTTTGATGGTGCTTCCATTTTGTAGCCACAGCCTCTGTTTAGGCTTCTTGGTTCATTTTTAAATAGCTCTTTGTTCAGAGTCTTCGAGGACTCTCAGGTAGGCCAAGGCCTTCTACTATATTTTCCCACTTCTTAAAATTCCCTGGGAAGTACCTCTCTTGCTGTCTTTGATGATACTTCTTGACATGCTGATGTAAGCTACTCATTTGGTATGCAATGCCTACCTTTCCCTTAAACAGCAAGGAATATATCTACACGTCTTGTTAGCAAAACATTTTTACTCTCCTTGCCTTCCAGCTACAAGGCTGTGGAGAGAAGGGTACTTGGGGGCGCACACACACAGCTTCCGAAGTACTCACCTACTGATATCTGAACATCAGCCACTATCCTCTGTGGCAGACGCAAAGGGAAGTGCTCGCCTCCCAACCTAGCTACAGCGTGCATCATCTCATCCCAGAGGCGGAGCAGTGGCTCAGGATTCTCCAGAGTTCGAAGATTTGCAGTGGGCACAGTCAAGATGATGTTGTCAGTGGCCAGTTCTCCCCATGGACCTGGATATTGCAGGAGACGCCTCTTCCATTCTTCCTTGGTTGTCTCCCCTATAAAGAGAGGCAATAGAAATATTGCCTTGAAATATCTTTCTTCAAAATCCCTTATGTTAAAACATGCATACAACTCTGACTCCAGATGAGAGCCACAAGTTAAGAAACAACCACATCTCCTTTCTCCACCCCTTTTGGAAGCCCCTATGGGTGTGATTTACTCATTTTTCTTGGCACCAAAGCAGAACTTAAAGAAACTAATCACCTCCCTCCACTGGTCTACCCCTGTCTCCTGTACTGTGTAGCCCCAGAAACGTCTTCATTTTCAGCTCTTCCCACCTCTCAGTGTGAACCTTACAGTGTCTACTTACCTAGCTTGTAGAATGGAGCACGAACAGCCCCCTTCACTGTGAAGGGCACAGAACCCAGTTTGCTATGCTGAGGCACAATGATATAAAGCAGACCACCCCAGAGGCAGGTGATTGATTTCCTGGGCTTGTCCAAGCAACACCGGTTAATCACAAGGGGGCCTCGGAACAGCTTGCTGGCCCTGGTCAGGTCATCAGTATGACAGCCAATTTGTATCTGGAGCAGAGAAATCACCCTCAGTCACAAGGAGGATGTGAGTGGCACAAGAGCGCATAGGAAGTAGACTCAGAAGGGTCATTAGGTTATGACCCCCATATACCATTGACGACGTCATGTATGATAGTACTGAAATTGTAGCATTTCTTGAGTTCATATGTACTAGGTTATGTGATGGAAAGTAAACTACTGTTCACCAACTGAATACCTACAAAATGTCAGGGAACCTTCCATGTGAGGCCTTTCTTAGTCTTTATTGTATGACATAAGTTAAAAGAACAAATTTTAAGAGCAGAGGTCACTGTTCTGAGGTAAGATGGTTTAGCGTCCTTGGCTTTAAGATGTATCATTTTGATATATTTTGTAATATAACAAAAACACATATTTTTCACCATTAAGAAGGAAATGGTGCTTAAAAACTGCCCCTAACCGCCAGTAGCATTTTACACAGACCACCTACAGTGCCAATTGGGATAGCAAGACCATTTGAATTCTGCAACATGTGGTGAGATGGGCAGTAGCCTTACCCTCAGATCAGCAGAGGCAGCAGCTTCAGGCAAGGAGACATCTACGACTTGTCTTCCAGGTATGTAGAGTCCAGTGCTCATCCAGCAGTATCGAGTGCCTGCCAAAGCACAGGAAGGGTAGGCTTCATCCCTGCTCCAGTTTCTCCACAAACCCCTCACAACTTCAGCTGCTCCTTTCCCTACCAGATTACTGTGACCCTTTCAAACACTGCCTGATACCCGACCCCAATCATCTTGAAGAGGAGGGCAACGGAGGACAGTGATGACCCTCTGCAGGTGATCCAACCTGAAACACTGCAGCAATCTCATGTCCCTGTTTTGCAGTTGCCCATAAAATCAAGCTCCCATCCTTTTGCCATACCTGGATTGGTGCAATTGACATTCACGGTGATGGGAGACGCTGAGGGGCGCAGGTAGCGGCTGCTGTACACATCTTCAATTTCTGGGATCAGCAGTGAGAGGTCACATCCAGAGTGGGCCAGACCTGTGGCCAGGGAAAGCATAGCTCCCCTACAACAGTCATTGATGACCGGGTTCTCTCTGGTTGCCACTGGAAGCCGATAGCGGCTTAGCAGCTTCCGCAGGAGTCTGTGCACAGACATGTAAGCAGGGATCTCCTCTGCAGGAATCTGCAGAAAAGTTGCCCCATCTGGGCCCAGCTTGGCTAGCCAGCCCTTCTCCACATTCCCTCTCCTCCTGCCCATTATCACTTGGAACTCTGCTAGGGTAGAGCGGAAGTGATAGGTCCTTGTTCCTGCTTTAGGGATACGGTAGGGTCCTGGACTGAGGCTTTGGCTTGTGATGCTGATACCAAAGGCGTTGAGGAGCATGTTTCCTGGGAATCGAGCCAGAGGGGACACTCCTGGGTTCTTAAAAGACCACCACCAGGCTTGGGTTCCAACAAACAGCCCACCCCCCTCTGCTACAAACTCCTGTAGTTCCTTAATTCCCACCTCACTTGTGGGTTCGAAGCAATAGACACTTGCGTCACTGGTCAGTTGGGGCTCAATGCTGGTGTCTATACCCCCTACTGCGAGCAGACCACTTAGTGTTCTCAGCTCTGTCTGCACCACAATCTTGCCTCTGCGGCCACCATCCAGCCAGCGGACAGCATTGACCAGAAAGGGGCCGAGTTTACCCACTGTGAATAATACCCTATGACCAATTACAACCACCCGACCCCGGCCATAACGGGCAGCAGCTATCACACAGCCATGGTAGATATCTAGCCCCAAAGCAAAAGCCAAAGACCCATGAACTAGAAGCTGGGATGGGAAGCAGTCCGAGTTGGTGATGTCTAGGTCTATGATGCCACGCAGAAGCTCATCTCTGTCTTCTGAGAGGTCATCGTCACAACTGCAAAAGATAACACACCTGATTAGAAAAACCAGTCTCCTTTTAGTTCCTTGAACACTGCCTGCTACACAAGGGTACCACTGCTTTAACTAATACTGTTTACAGTTATTGTAGAAGATTTGGGAGAACTAAGTGGGTGAACATTTTTTGGGAAGGAGACACAGATGTCTATTAATTCTATTATGTTAATTTTCAAATCACCATTTCTTTGAGGAAATTCTATGGAAAATCTTGCTGTGTGTCTCCGATGCTAAACTTCAGATACCACATTCTAGACTTAAGTTCATGTTTATTCCCACCCATGTATTCAGGATTGCAAAGAATTAGGTGAGGAATTATGTTTTTATTCTTAGAACGAGTCGTACTGATCCATTTCACACCATTAATGTGATAAAAGAAAAGTCTATGGGAAACAGAGTTCACTGTGTCGGAGAAGAGTCAGCATCTTAGAAGTTGGGCTGGGGTCAGTCATTAGCCTTATCTCTCACGAGACCTGTGGTTCCTTAGTGGGAGGAGTACCATTGCCTACATCTAAAGCTTCACCTGTCTGTTGCTTGCCCAACAAGAATGCTGGAATGCTGTGGGGTTTTGCTCAGCCCTGGTGTTTTTCCTATGCATAATGCACTCCCTTCCCTGCTGAGATCCTTAAGCCACCTATAAATGCCAAAGGGAGACTGAGTCCTGGATGCTTAGGATGACCTCCACACACTTGCAATTCCAGAATTGAATCTGTCACTTCTGTTAGGGATCAAACTATGGCAGTCATGTGTCAGGATAAAGACAATGGGTTGGAAAGTCCTTGAAAAACTAACATAGAGCTATCACATGACCCAGGCAATTCTCCATTGGGTATGTACCCAAAGCAAGTAAGATCAGTGCCTACCAGACTCTCATGTTCCTTGAAGCATTTTCACAATAGCTGAGGTAAAGAAGAAAATCTCAGTGTATGCGTTGGTGAGAGGATAGCTTGTTATGTGAAGTTTTGGTGAGAACAGTATTTAATTTCCCTTGGGTTATACTTAGGAAGAAGATGGCTGAATGATACCATTTAGTGGTCCTGTACATTGTCTTCCACAAGCGATCTTTTCTTTTCTTTTTTTTTTTTTTTTTTTTTGGTTTTTTGAGACAGGGTCTCTCTGTGTAGCCCTGGCTGTCCTGGAACTCACTCTGTAGACCAGGCTGGCCTCGAACTCAGAAATCCACCTGCCTCTGCCTCCCAAGTGCTGGGATTAAAGGTGTGTGCCACCACCGCCCAGCGCGATCTTTTCTTAATGCAGGATTGCAAGTAATTTTTTTTTCTATGCTGTAATTTAGAAGTTTTTCAATTTTTCTTTTGTACTTGGGTCTAGACCTCTTTTTGAGTATTTTGTGTGAAACTGGTTAAGGATCAAAGTTCATCTTTCCATAAGGGTATTTAGTTCTTCCTGAATCATATGATGAAAACACTGCTTTTTCCTCATTGAGTGAATCTCTCTGGACTACATGGTCTGTTTCAGCAACTGATTTGTCTACCTTTATGCCAGTATCAGAACTGATTCTGTTTTCTTCTGACCTGCACACATGTGCTTGCACATGCCCTTCCATCTTCCACATCCCTTTCATGTAAATAATAATAATAAATAATAATAAATTTTAAAAAGTTTGTGAGAGACCACATTCATAACTTTATTACAATATATTGTACAATTGTTAGATTTTTATTAGTATCTATTGTTATACTAATAATGTACTTAATTTATAAATTAAACTTTAGTATATTTAGGTATGTACAGAAGAGTCCATTTTCCAATTTTTAATATCTATGCCTCTTTTTCTTGTTTTATAGCACTGGTGGAGTGCTTTCAACACAATGCCTTAGTAAAAGGAAGACCATAAGTGTTACTCTTGCTTTGTTCTCATTTCTAAGGTAAAAGCAGTCACCATTTTATCCTTAATAATGTGTATGTGTGTATGTATATATATATACATACACACACACACACACACAGACACACACACACTTGTAATCCTACACTTGGGGGTGGAGGCAGCAGGATTTATGGAGTTCAGGGACAGATTTGGATGCACAGTACTTCATCAAGACCAGCTTGTGTTCTATGAAACCCTGTCTTACAAAACCCAATGACACAAAATAAAATTAACAAGACAAAGTGAGAAGGTTTCTAGCTTCATGCCTCTTCTCAGATGGAAGGCATTCCTTTTTATATGGAGTCTGTTGATATGTCATCGTGATTGACTATGAAATCTTGTTAAGCGTTTTGTGTGCATCCATTGAATTGCATGATGTTCTCATTTTTAACATTATCGTGCTAAATTAACTTGGCTTCTGATAGCTAAACCAGTAATTCATACCCACAATAACTTAATTTTGCTATGATATATACTAATATATTAAACTATTTCACTTATTAGTATTTAACCAAGAATTTTGCATCTATGTTAATAAGTATTAGTCTATAGGTTTCTTTTCCTTAAGGAGTCTTTTTCACCTTATTTATTTATTTATTTATTTATTTATTTATTTATTTATTTATGTGTGTACTCATATGCAAATGCCAGAGGGTCGTATCATGTTATGTACTTTCCTCGATCACTTTCTGGCTTATTTTCTGAGACAGGGTGGTTTGTGAATTCAGGCTCATCAATTGAGCTGGATCACCTGGGCAGCAAGCCCAGTCTCTCCTGTTCTTCTTTCTCAATGTTCAGATTACAGGTATGTTATCCTGGCCGACTCCCCTCACCCCACCATGGAATTTAGGGAATCTAACTCAGGTCTTCATCATGCTTACATCACAAGCATTTTACCTACTCAAACCATCTCACCGGCCCTTTCTCTAATTTCGGTACAACAGAAATGTTGGTGAAGCAATAAAGTTTGGGGTGCTACATAGTTACTGGGGTTTTAAATGTCTTCTAGATATTGTCACTAGAGATATTTCTGCGCACTTCATGTTCAGATGTTTATAACTCATCTTAACATGTAAAGCTGAAATTTATCTTAAGAAATAATATCTGACACAGAATATATTCAATAAACTCTGGAATAACTAATGGGTAAATAAACAAAAAGAGATTGAACTTCTTGTAGAAGCCCCAACTCTGAGTTAAAATCAAACAAGATTACTTCTTACCAAAAAATATAGGATACACGGATTGTCAGGTACACAGCTAAGAAATGTTCACTGAATGCTAATTAATTGTTGCATATACAACACTGTGTGTGAATAAAACAGACTTGGTAATACTCTCCACGGATCTCCAGTGAAGCTTGCCCTGTACCCAGCATCAGCTTCCTCCATTCTCACTTAGACCTTTTGACTCTAGGGGTAAACATCTTCTAATGACCACCATTAGTATATAGAATAGTGTTGTCTCTTTTCCAGCTCAATTTCTGAATGCACAGCTTCCTGGTTCCATCCTAACTGCACGTAAAGATTTCAAATGCTACTCACAGCTCTCCTGACACTGGCCCAGAGGGCTTTTCTGTTTTTTGGTTTTTTGTTTTTTTTTTTTTTCCCCTAATAGTTTCCTTTACCTGGCAAAGAAACTTCCTATGAGCCTTCCTACATAAAGCAGGCCAATTCTTGGGGTCAACGGTACTTTTAAGCTAAGTTCTGAGGAATATCATAGTCAAAATTCTTCTCCTCACAGAGCTAAACGAATTGTTCTGGGGGGACAGTGTCACTCCTCAGCCTCAGAGTATTAAAACAACTAGTTGACTGAGGCAAATACGTGTCTGAGTTTCGAATCCTTTTCTGTAAGCCTGAAACAACCTGAAGATGGAATCATGTTGGGTTTTTAGTATGAGGCCAACTTCCCACTATGGTAAGATACTCACCGAACTAAGACGGGTATCTTAGGCATCTTCTTGGAGACTTTATATAAGTTTGTGTCTGCTTTGTTGTCAGTGAAGTACACACCAGCCACACTGGTCACCAGATTCCCCGGAAACGCGAACAGAACTCTATCATCGTCGCCCTGGGGATCCCAATCCCAGGCTTCGCCTCCTATGAGCAAGCCCCCTCCACGTTTCACGAACTGGACTAGCTTATCTGTCATGGTTTCATTGTAGGCATCAATGCAGTAAACACCCAGGGAGTCATTCACTTCTGGCTCAATCTTTGCCTCTATTCCACAGCTCTCAAGGATTTTCACCAATGGAGCTAAAGATGAATGCACACCAATGGTTGACTCAGGGGAGGAACGAAGCCACCCAACAGCATTGACAAGAAAGACAAAGAGCTGGCTTTCCAACAAGAAGTCCTCATGAGCTGCCACTACCATGCGACCTCGGCCATAGGAAGAGGCAGCAATGAGGACCTGGCCCACGTCATTCACCATTATAGGAAATGAAGCCTCTCCAATAAGAAGCAGTTCACATGGAACAGAATCCTTGGGGATTTCCCAACTTGTGACTCCATTCATAAGGGCCTCAAAGGCAGCAGAGGGAGTTGCCATGGTTCTGTAGAGGAAAAAAAAAAAAAGACTCCATTTAGCAAAGAATGGTTAAACAATAAAAAATCAAGCAAGGTATTTATTCCACCAGGTATGGCAATGGCATCACTGTGATAAGACTCAGGATCCTCCCCATTTAGTCCATTGCCATCATTAGAGAGTATAGGATTCTATACCACCACAGAAGGAAGCAACATAGAAAGGGGAAATAATGATAGAATTCTGTCTCCCATAGGCAAAGTTTGAATTCTTAACCCGCTACCTACGAACACGACAGTTTGGAAATAGGATTTCTGGCCAGAGATGTTACCAAGTTAACAGATGTCATGCTAAATTTGGAAACTGAGCGACTGAAACATAGGTTAGAATGCCATTAGAAGACGAAGACAGGGAATGCTGTGATGTGTCTGCAGACCGAGGGACACCAGAGATTGCTGGCAAAATCTAGAAGCTGTAATAGAGGTATGGAAAAACTCTACCTCTGAAATTGTAGAAGAAATCAGTATTGCTCAAGTCTGGGCACTACAATTCTAACCCTCCAGAACAGTTGTTCTTAACCTTCCAGATGCTGCAACCTCAGTACATGTTGTTTTGACCCCCAACCATAAAAATATTTCATTTCTACTTCATAACTGTAATTTTGCTATTGTTATGAATTATAATTTAAATATCAGTCATGCAGGAGATCTGATATGTGACCCCTGGGAAAAGGTTGTTATATTCCCAATGTGGAGTTACAGTCCACAGGTTAAAAACCACTTCTCTAGAACTTGGAGGGAAAAAAATAGCATCACTATTTTGAGCCACCATAATTGTGATCATTTGGTATGGATGGCTTGAGAATGGTACAGTGGTCTAGCCTGCTCTCCTCCCACATCACTCTCATCCATCTTGGCTTCTTCTCTAGTCATATTAACCTCAGTTTGGAGCATTAGAATCTGACTGAATAGTCAGGGATCCCTAGTTTGGATCAGTCACAAGCTGAATAACTGGAACATGAAAGCTCTCCGTGGACGAATACCATATCCCAGACAAGAAGCAGAAAGCAGCAAGCTATGAGATTCTGGTAGATTCTTCCACGTACCCGAGACATGACTGAGGACGGTGTACCTGTGTACATCAGCTTTTAAATGTCCTGTGCTTCTTCACTGGGAGCATCCCCCCACGCTGCTCTCCAGTTTCCCAGCAGTGTTTAGTCTTGTGCGCATACCATACATTTGCACATATACTTGTTTGGTTAAGAGTAAATCATCTACTTTATATTTGTGAATAATATGGAATACTCACAAAATAGACAAGGTAGTCTAGTCTGTTGCTGGTTATTGGAACCACCAGGCTGAGTGTTTGTTGACTGTGGTTTCATAATTTTCCTATTTTGCAGCTAATATTAATGCTAAGACTGATTTTAATGACTATGGCAATTATTTTTACATATGTCTCTGGACTCCTGAAAGTCCTTGGCCTGCGGGCGATGACTTCTACAGCCATGTATGGAAAGAACTTTATCTCATGTAGCTAATAAACTCAAGTCTCAGTTGAAAGAGAACAGCGACTGCCTGTAGCCTGTAAAGGATCTGTAACCTACAGAAGCCTTAAAACTAGAGCTGTGTATTCTGGCACTCTTCTGAAACCCTAACATGTTGCCTCAGATAGAGGTAAACTGTGAGGAAATAAAAATCCTACTATGTTAGCCACCTTAGGTGTTGTCATGTAATGTGGCTGCCTCTGGGATCTGATGCAGTGGAATTCTGTCAGGAATTTAAGGCTAGTCTTAGCTATGTGAGACGCTGCCTCAGAAGAAAAACAAACAAAGCTTCCCTGGGGGTGGTGGCTGGGGTGGGGGTGTGGGGGGGAAGAAGCTTTTCTATGTAAAATTACATGAACCAGATGCTTTCAGCTGTTAAAATACCAGAGCTAACTTTTTACCCACCTCAGAGAATGTCTAAAGAATGCAGCCACCCGATACCTGGTTAGTGAGAAACCTGTCTTGCTCGCCCTTCCCGATGTCTACCGATGTCTACCGATGTCTACAAATAACCTGGCTAGCACATTGTACAGAGTCATAGTAATGTCCACTCTTCCTCTTCTTCCCATTTCCATCACAAGACCTGTCAATGACCTCAGTGTCCATCTGTCAGCACACTGTGATGAATCAGTTTGGTTCTTTAGTAATTCATGTCTAGACCGAAGGAATCTGGTGTCCAAGTCTCTCCAGGCAGTTTCTAGATTTATTATTCTGAAAGTACTCTAATAATATCTTGTCCTTGAAGAGAAATCCACAGAGCTTCTTCACCTGTATCCACTGGAGAAAACCTGACTCCTTTCTCCCAGTCTGACCTTCCCCATGGCAGAGTGGCAGCTCCAGCAAGTTTAAACCTGATTCCTGTCTCCTCCTGTCCTCCCTGAAACTACTACCCAGGACAGGCTCTGTTTCCTCTTCCAACTCTTTTTCTGTCTTCCTCTCACATCCCCACTGCTACTTTTCTGTCTAGGGAAACTACTGTTCTAGGTGAAGATGTACACAGAGGAGAAAATTCGAGACATTTTCTATGAAAAATTAATCAGTGCCATGAGTCAGGCAATGGGAAATACAATTAAGATAAATCAAATGGTGAACTAAGAGGAGACAAGAGTAGAGATGATGGGGAAGATGAAGGAAAATGAGAAGATAACTGGCTGACCCACCCATACTTCCTTGTAATAAAGATATGGGTCCATGGATGCTGAATGCCCTACAAAACTACAAATGGACACCGGTAAGTGAAACCCAAGAGTGGACATAGATCAAAGACAAGGGAGTTTCCTAGGATCATTGTTATGTATAAGGGTTCAGGATCTGAAATTCAATCACACATTTTCCATAATCTTCCTAAATTCTCCATTGTACACCATACAACATTCCCATTGCATATGTCCTCACACTAATACACATTCCTTTAAGAGCTGCCCATCAGACTCTTGTGTATTGGCTAATGCTTTCCACATTATGGGTAAACATGCAGTCAGAGAATATTATTCATATTCATATGTCTACCTCATTGGTCATTCTCTTAACTAGGCTCTGTGTTCGTGAGATAAATCTATTTGATATCTCTTTAGAATGAGCTAGGTAATACTTTCAGTGAGAATTTCGAGCCACTGTGTAAATTTTGAACATATTTTATGTGGTTAAGGCAATGATAACAGTGTAGCAACTGTAGAAATGACAGTCACTCCTTATCAAGTTTCTCATATTGTAACACCTTATTTATTAAATTCTGACAAACTTACAGGGTATATCTCATCACCATTTCTATTGTATAATTTTCTGGAGAAGAAAACCTCAGTCCTTTTCAGTGGTCAGGGAATTGGTCACTTGTTTAATATCACATAGACAGATAAGTGATGACTCTAGGATCCCAATACAGGAAATGCAGAACCAAAGTAGAGTCCTTTTAAAAATGTTTGTTTGTTTTATGTGCATGTATATATGTGCTATCCAGTTTTATGTCAACTTGACACAAGCTAGTCTGAATGGAGGGAAACTCAATTGAGAAAATGCCTCCATAAGATCCAGCTGTCAGGGCATTTTCTTAATTAGTCGTTGATAGGGGAAGGCCCAGCTGTTGTGGGTGGTGCCTTTCCTGGTAGAATGGTCTTGGTTCTATAAGAAAACTAGGTGAGCAAGCCATCGGGAGCAAGCCAGTAAGCAGCACCGTTCCATGGCCTCTGCATCAGCTTCTGCCTTTAGGTTCCAGCCCTGCTTGAGTCTCTGTCATGGCTTCCTTCAGTGACGGTCTATGAGGTAAAAGTATAAGCCAAATAAATCCTTTCCTCCCCAACTTGCTATCGGTCATGTTGCTTCATCATAGCAACAGTAACTGTAACTAGGACAACATGTTTCTGAGTAGTATGTGTGTTGATCATGTGCCTGCAGGAGCTAATAGAGGTTGGAAGGAGTTAGACTCTCCAGAACTGGAGTTACAGGTGGTTTTCAGTCACTATGTGTGTGCTGAGAAACAAACCAAAATACTCTCAACCACTGAGCAATTGCTCTACCTAAGAGTATGGTCCTTGGGCAATGTCAAATATATTAGTATTTGCTAAGTTCCAGGGGTTTTTGTTTGTTTGTTTTATTCATAAAAGCTCTGTGGAAGCCACAGGTGTACATAGCAGCCTCATCACATTAGGAAAGGAAGAGGTAAATAGTTTGTCTTCATATGAATTTTCATCCTTTAAATTGTATCCCCACGGTTGTTATCCTCTTTCGTTGGTGTTAACTGTAGCCCCCTTTGAACTTGTCACATTCTCTTTCAGGGGAAAGAGTATCTCAGGCGCAGCCTGTAGAATGGGGTGAAAGCAGGCACTCTAATCCCACCACAAAGCAGTTCTGTAGACTTAAACATGGCTTTTCCTGTGAAGGATTTATGGAAGGGGAGGTGGGGCCATCTTGGGAGAAGGGTCCTTCACAGCCTGCATTCCAGACCTCGAAACACAGACTTACATGTATGAGATCAGAGAATGCACTTTATTCCCTAGATGTATTTCATGGATGTCTGACTGAAAGGCACTGTGAAGATATGGGTACACCAGGGGATACTTCCAGTAATAGCTAGCCTGACCTTGTCAGAAACACAATTCTCTGTGTCTTCTCTTTTCCATGTCCTTTTTGCTCTAAGAAACTTCTCTTTTCCTTTATATATCGAATTTTTTCCCACAATGTCCATCACATTCTACTAAAGCAGTACTCCAATCGACTCAGTTCTTTCTTTTGCACTCCATCCTGGGACACTTTTCTCTACATCCTTATTAATTTGAACATAAGAAATCGTTCCATTCACACACATGAAAGAATGTTTAATGCATGTGGGGGAATAGACAATAAAATGATAATAACACAGTTAAAAAGTTAAACTTCCATGTACTTGATAAGATCAACAACATCACCACTCCCAAGAAAGTATTGGATCCCACCTTTCGACCCTCCTTATCCTCTACAGGAGTAAGATCAAAAACTTGGCTTTTACTGTTTCATATTCTCTTTACCACACTCCTTCCTGCATCCCAGGGGTGGCAACCTCTAGCTTCTTCATTTTTCTACTTTTTTGTTCGCTCCCATATTTGTTCGCTTTTCCCACTGGGTAACTAAGGACAAGGGAATTGAGGATTCTGACCCAGGAGTGACGAGACCCGCCCTTTGTCATAAGACAGTCAGGTGCTGCCTCCACCTAGCTGTGAGTCCGCTTGCCCCAGAGGGGTTCTGACAAACACAATGTGTGATAAAGGTCTTTCCACACCGGGGGCAGTCACAACGACGCAGGAGCCTGGCGAAGGCCCTCTCTCCTCTTTCCTTTCCCTCTAATGGCCAGTCTGTAGAGCATGTGAGTGACGTCAGGGTCTGCGAGCGCAGGAGGAGGGAGGTTCGGCTAACAGAGGAGGAGGGCAGCCAAGTGGAAAATCTCAGGCTGCGGATTCTCTAGGCCTCTGGACCAGGACTGCCCTCTCAAAACACACCCACACCCCAGACCCCTGTGAACAATGCCCAGTGGGCTAGCGATCTGGGTTCCAGTGACCCTGTTTGTCAGGTTCAATAAACCTTAGTATGGAATGGTGCTCTATCACCAGCTACCTGTGTGACAAGTACGCCCAGCCCCCTCCTCTGAAGGCGCTCATTAGATTAGATGTGGCCACCGCTGGTGGGGCCTGGCTGGAACTCGCCCACACAAAGCGGTAGCACACAGACGTCACTGTCAGACCGACGCCAGCAGCAGTAAGAACGCTTGGTCGGGGGTGTGAGTGGGAGGCTCAGGCACCAAGCAGAACAAATTGACCGAGAGAAGGTAGACAGGAAGCCCTAGGAAGCCTCTGCCCAGATCTGGACACACCCAGGCCCGCAGCGCCTAGGTCCCTCTCACAGGTCTCCAGCGTCCCCCGAGTAGAACTGGCTGCTCGCCCCACCTGCCTCCAACCCCGGACACAGCCCTGGTCACAGGCTCCCTTGCCCATGGCTGTTCCTGCGGGCCACTCACCCTGCGATCACACCAGGCAGCTGTCTTGGAGCTTCTAGGAGCGCACCAGAAGGATTCTCGGCAGAGCACCAAGGCGCCTCCGAGCAGCAGCCGAAAGCCTGGAGCTTAACGGGGAGGAGATCCGAGCCGGAGGAGAGGAGGGGTTCCCAGCCAGTCTCCTCCCCACTTCCTCCCGGCTGGAGTAGGAGCTCGAGGGGCGGCGCTTGGCAAGAGATGGCTCTTCTTTGTGTAGCTGGCTCAAGCGACTAGGCATTGATTAGAGACACCTAGAGGAGGTCTCGTCCTAGCGGTGTGGATGGTCATCTTTATTAAAACTTTTCTATTTACAAGTAAGGTAAAGGATGAAAAAAACGAGGCATGTACATTCTGCGACTTATTACATTCTATGCTTACACAGAACTTACATCCCTGTAAAGTTTAGGATGGATGGACCTTGGTATATTGCACAGGGAAACACAGGAATTGCAGGGATTGTTGAACATGCTTTCGATTTTGGGGAGGGGGAGATGAGAAAGGAAAGAGACCTTTCTAATTATCCATACTGTTTAATCTGGGAAGGCACTGCATACAACCTCACTGATCTCACTGTTAGGTGTGTGACTTTGGTAAATTCAAAATAAATTTCAAAAGAACAATAGACAGCTGAAGTGCATTGTTCCGGAAGTCTTTCCTCCCTGACAAGCAGGTAACCTCTCCTTAAGGTCCTATCTGTGTTGTGACTCCATCTGTTATGCTGCCAGGTCCAGCAACTAAAATTCGGAGGAGAATCAGTGGGACTGATTCAAGTCAAAAGTGACGCACGTTTTCAGCTGTGTGGTTTTAAGACACTCAACCTATACCTCTTTTATGTCCTGGGAGATGGGGGACCATAAATAAACACCTATAGCACAGATAGAAAAACTTAAACGGATGGGCTGATATTTGTTCTTAAGTGAATACCAGACATAAATAAAGCTGTGTGGTTATCTGACAAAATAAACATTCAGACAGCCCAAGATTCAGTGGTGTGTGTGTGTGTGTGTGTGTGTGTGTGTGTGTGGTGTGTGTGTGTGCCTGCCTTTGAATCCAAGTAGGGTTGTGATGCACACTTCCTTCCCTCATCTCTTTTTAATAGCATTTCTTCAAAATAAATAATATGAATGCCACACAAAGATCCTGAGGCAGATGAGCTCAGTGGTGGGGTTTAGTAGAGGGACCAGCTCGAACAAAATCAAATAAGCAGAGTTCAGGTCCCACCAGATAAAGACCGTTCAAGAGATAGCAAGTATAACCTTTTTTTTGGGTCCAGGTCCCAGGCTTCCCAGCTAAAAGAGGAGGCTGTTGACATGCTCATGAAGTCCCATCCTGATCTGAGATGTCAGGATTGACAATAAAACCTCTTAATGAGTTTAGGGGCAGTTGGCAGAGGTCAGAACTAAAACACATGCTGCATATGTAAAAATACACACAAAAGGTAAAAATTATATGGGAAGGGTACAGCCAATTTGCCTCCAAGGACTGGGCTATGAGGCTAGGTTTCAGGAAAAGGTCGTGGGGTGTTGGGTGGGGAATACGAAGGTGACAAAATGTCAGCATCTGAAGAACTACTTTTTCCTTATGTCACTTTTAAATATTTTCTAATGAAAAAATGTCTAAGGGCAGAAATTATCAGATTTTTGTTAATTAAGCTTGAGAGGGGAAAAATCAACACACTGAAAAAGAGCGGGAGAGGTAGTAACCGCAGATGTGGGAAAAGCACAAGAACTCTCTGTTGACAGAAACTAGCTTCCTGGACTCAACAAGCCCTGAGGCCAGAGCTCCCAGCTGGGTTAGCATTCCAGGCTCCCCCAGGACTTAGTAAACTTCAGTCTTCCACCCAGGCTGTGGCAGACCCCAGAAGCCCTTAACCTGGATCCTGTGCCGGGCCATACTATGGCTCTAGAAACCATCCTTGGAAGATTCACCATGGGTCCAGCAATTCCCGCATCCGGGCCACTAGCCCCACCCCAATGAAAGGGCGTCCATACTGCAGAGGTGTGACCAGGAAGTAGAACAGATGGCCTAGGGAAATGGTGGGTGGTGGGAGATGGGCTGCAGAGAAGATGTAGGAGAGGGCTGGTCCCGAGAGCCAATTGGCCACTTCGGGCTGAGGGCGGAGCTCCACCAGTCACTCCGGTTTGCCCAGGACCTTCTTAGTGTCAGTTTTTGACTCTAGTTAAGACCCCAGGCTAGGAGTTTATCCTGGGAGTGCAGCTGTAAAAACAATATAAACAATGACTGATTTTAAAGATTAACTCTCCCTATGTAGCCTAGGCTAGCTTTGACTTGTTTCTGCCCTCCTAGTGTTGTTAGACTATGCCTCCTTGTCCAGCTGCAACTAGTCTTCATGTTAAACAATACACAATTGTTTCCAAGCATGAATTGTATCTCTATATATTGACCAGTATTTAGGAGCCTTCTGGAGTACACGTGTTTCTCTTCCCACCCGTTTCTACCTTCCCTCCTTTCTTCGCCCTTCTCTCTCTTCCTTTTTATTTTCAATCACTCTTTTATTACTTCTCTTGTCTCCCTTTCTCTCCCTTACGAGATCATATTATTATATGCATACCATCACCTACATTATTAAATATTATTTTAAAAACATCTAATATAGTTAAATAGTTTTAATTTTATACTAGAAACATAAAGATTATATAGAAACTATGTATCAAAGTATTAGAATTAGTTACTTCGGACAAGAAAGTGAATTACTTATAAGTTTTGACACCTCCCTCCCCCATTAGTACTGCTAAAATAGTCTTGGCTGGCTTCCAACTCTTGAGCCTCACACCTCAGCCTCTAAAGTACTGGGATTACAGTCATGTATTACCATGTCTGGTATAACTGTGTAATTATTACTTTAAATATTCATTTTTAATGTACTTCATTAACATTTCAAGAATTATATTATTTAAAAATAGAAACAAATAAACCTAATCAATTAAAAACTAAATTAAATTGCCCAGGACCTTTTTAGTGTCAGTTTCTGACTCTAGTTAAGACCCCAGGCTAGGAGCTTATTCTGGGAGTGCATCAGGAAATAAATAATATAAACAATGACTGACTTTAAAGATTAACTCTCACTGTGTAGCCTAGGCTAGCCTTGACTTGCTTCTGCCCTCCTAGTGTTGATTTTAGACTCCTGGTAAAACTGCTGGTACCGACTTTGTGAAGCTTGTACCATATAGTTTTTTGAATTTTGTTTCTAGTCCTAACTCTTTTAAAACACTCAGCCTTATAGTCATGACATGGCTTTGTGCCATGCCCTGCTTGAACCTTGTCTCTGTAGCATGTGTTCTCAAGGGCAGAACCCTGGGGGAAAGGCACTTAGGCACCAAAAGCTGAAGGAGGTCTGTGCTGCTCCTACACATTCTCCAGTCTCCCATCCTCTAAGTTCTCTGCCTCTGTGCCCTTGGTACCAGGTAGAAGAGGCAGTTACCAGATTGCATATTTACAGGAAAGCAGATTCAGTGGTTAAAGACTTCAAAAGTGTTTTACTTAAGAGTTTATAACAACTCCCCAATCTGGAGGAAGTATAAGTTAACAACCGTGCTTTATTTTTCTTTCAATTTCTCACTTTATCTAGGTCATATGCTAGTATTTCACAGTGATAGTTGATATCAACTCTCAACTTGATGAGAGTAGAATCACCTGACAGGCCTCTAGGAATGCCTGTAGGGAATACTCTTGATGAGGTTAACTGGGGTGGGAAGGCTCTCCTATTATGGGAGGCTCCATTCCCTAGGGCAGGATCCAGGACTATATAAAAAGAAGTCAGCTGAGCACAAATATTTTCTGCTTGCTGGCTTCGGAGGCATCACAAGGAGCTACCACTGTGACTTCCCCACCATAAGCAATCTCAAACTGTGCACAAAACACAAAACAAATCAAAACCAAAACAAAACAAAACCTTCCTTAAGCTACTTTTGTCAGTGTTTTTTATAATAGCAACAGAAAAGTAGCTGATGCACATGGTTTGGATTGACAGAGAAGACAAATGGCTGTAGGTGAGGAAGGAAGTGTATAGAATCATTTCTAAGCAAAACTAACAGTTGCCAGATGTAGAAGATAGTGCAAGTTTTCTTCACCATGCACTTTCTCTTCTTTTCATTTGATTTTACCCACTTAAGCCTTTCGAGCTCTTCACATATCTCCAAATGCCTTCTAAAACATTTTTCATTTTAATATTGATTGGGTATGCGTGTGCACATGTGTATGCATGTAGATAGTTGAGTACCTGTGGAAGACAGGAGAGGGCATGAGGACCCCTCCTGAGAGCAGGAGTTAGAGGTGGTTGTCAGCTGTCCATTGTGGGTGCTGAGAACTAAACAGAGATCCTCTGGAAGAGCAGCACACACTTTTAACTATTGAGCCGTCTTTCTGGCCCCTCAATACTTTCTTTATACACAAGCTGGTTCTTCTCTCTTCCTCCGTCACAGAGTCCATACCTACTAAATCAATGTTAAGTTTTATATACCCTTTCTTACTTCCCGAGTTTCCTTGTTTTGCTTAAGGGTTTTGCCCTCTGTAGCCCTGAGTAAGGGACACTGCCACAAAATTCTGAAAGTGTTGAAATAACTCTGGAGACAATTAAGTCTATGCACTCCGCCATATGTGAGTGGATAAACAATTCAAACTACAAAATATTCTTTCAAAGTATTAGCTCAATTCTTGCACTGATGAATCCTCTCAATATGGTTTTTTTTTTTCATTGAAAATTTTATGTTCCTACTTTGACATGGAAAAATGCTATCACTTGCTATTAACACTTAGGTCTTTACCCAAAAGAACTGCAAACACACATTTATATAAAAACCATACACTGAGATGAATCTATAATACTGTAGAACTGAAAGATACTCAGTTCTTCTTTTCCTGCTTTCTCATGCACTGTGCCATTCAGCTATTACCTGAATACTATCAACGATAGTGTTCATATAAATTATTGTGTATTTGTATATTGAATATTGTCCTGTAACAATGATGAGTCCAATATGGCTGAATGTCACCAAATGCAGTAACATGAAAGGAGAAAAAAGGAAAGATTACTAGCTGTAGAAGTGTGATGGTCTGAATGATA